TATATATATATACATATCACACACACAATACATTGAAATAAAATTTCTTTTTTAGTGGTGAGGGCAGGGGGCTTGAACCAAAGTTATATGGACAAAATGTTAGTGGGCCTCCTAGTTATGAAGATGCTGTGAGTGACGGTCATAGCCCTGTTGATACCAAGAGTTAAACTAATTAATTAATAAGTCAAAAGATTTATTTACTTCTAAATTGTAATATATATATATATATATATATATATATATATATACAATAATGGAATCTAGTCTAACTTGTAAGCATTTGAAGGACTGGAGAAACGGCAAAATCATCACCTCAGGTGAACATTAACCATCAAGAAATTCTGGAAGCAGCTGCTCCACCACCACCAGCTGCCGCCGCCACACCACCTCCAGTTACCACTACACCGCCACCACCTGCAGTGACAGTTAACAATGAAAACGATGGGTTTGACTTTTTTGATCCCCGTGTTGCTGCTCCTGCTCCTGTCCTTGCGCTTGCCCCGCAAGGATCAGGTGGTGGAGAGATGGAGGATTTGTTTGGTTCTCTACCAGAGTCTTTCTCTTCTTCAAATGCATTGGCTCTTGTAACATATACTTCATCTATAACCACTAAAGTTCATCCTCCAGCAAATATTAATCCTTATCTCACCTTCGATACCTCATCGACAAGTCGGGTGCATGAGTGTCTTAAAAGCTGGATTCTACACACACATATTGATAGTTTGTTTATATTGTAAATGTACACTCTTTAAGCATTGATTGCATGCAGGCATTTGATGATCCGTTTGGTAATGGTCCATTTAAATCTGTTCCTTTTACTGATGGATTTTCGGCTTAACCACCAACATCACCCTTCACTATAACTGCTGCTGCACCACCATCATTTTCAGTTGACCCAATGTCAAGGTCAGGGGGATTTGGGGATACTTTTGATTTTGATTCAACTGTTGACATTTTAGCTGATATATTGCCTCCACCTGGACCCTCACAAACTGCTTTTACTTCTCAAAATGATCAAGCATCTAGTCTTTCAGCAGAACCTAACCATACCACATTTCCTTCAAGTTTTTCAACTCCATTTGGCCAACCACCTACTTTTTCATCACAAGGTCAAGGTGGTCAACCTTTTCAACCTCAAGCTGCCCAATCTATGCTATACCCAGCTTTTCCACCTCAAGGTGTCCAGCAGCAGCAGCCTATGCCACAGTTAGGTTTTCATCTTCTAGGTGGACACCAATCTATGTGTAACATACACGTTTTGAAATCGTGTTTTGTAATGAATACTAAAATTGTGAAATATTATGTAAAATTTGAGTGTTGAGTTCTAACAGATGGTTTTTACTAGAAATAAAGTAAAACTATATTTAGAATCACTCAGAAAATATTGGAAGTCTTATGAGATTTCAATTAAAAGCCAAATAATGAAATTTAGCAAAAATATAAAATTTTAAATAAGTAAAATTTTATTATTTGATTTTGTATAGAATCTCATTAGAAACTTGTAGGCGAAAACCTCGTCAAAATCCGAGTTATAACGAAGAAGTTATGACCAACCAAAGATCTGCGACAAAACCGGCACAGCGCCGAATGACCTAAAAAGTGAGTTTTTTATAAACTGCTTTTTAGCTTTAGTAATCTAAATGAAATTCTTAGTATTCGTTAAACCGAGAAATTCGATAAAAAGAACGTCAAAATCTGACTTCGTATGAGGAAGTTATGATTTTTCGAAGTTTCAACTTAGCAGTAGACAGCTAAAAACTCGAATTTTAGATCAAGCGATATTTTACCGATACATCCTAAACGAGAATGGAAGGTCTCGTCATTTGTAGTTCAACGGTAAAAAGTCTGACGAAAACGGATGTCGGATGAAGAAGTTATGAATTTTTAACGGATTTTCCTGTCCAGGTCTTTTAAAAATAATAATATTAACAATAAAATCAAAATTAGCCAACGAAGTCTAAATGAAAGTTGTAGAGCGTAATCTTAGCTACGCGAGCATATAAAGAACGTCAAAAACGGAGCTGGTATGCGAAAGTTATGGATTTTAGAAGTTTGGGGACCGAAAACCGAAGAAATTCGCATGAATAGTGTTCGGACACGTCACTCGCACGAAGCATCAGCGTCACCGAGACGTGGCCCAATCCGGAGACCGATGCGTGTTCCTTTCCGATTCGCTGAGGCTGAGGTCCAGCAGGAGCGAGACACGTCTCGCCTACCAGCCTCGTATCCGAACCTCACTGACCGAGCCTCGTATGCGCGCCAGCTGGTCCGACCCTCGCATCCGAGCCTCGCGTCCGCGCCACCTGCCCTTCGCTGCTGCTGCCACCGAGCCCTTCGCTGCTTATCTGACTCCGAACCTCGGCCCTATATAAAGGGGGCTGCTTTTAGCCCCTCTTTCCATATTTTCTTCATTTTGACTTTCCCCGAAGCCCCGATATCAATTTTAGCACCCGAAACACGTCTCGAGATCCGCGAGAAGCCCGAAAATTTTATCTTTTCGGTTTTGAAGCCCTACCTTTGTAGAGCCCGGTTTTCAATCAAGCTCCCGGTTTTCAACATAGAAAGACATATTTAAAGCCGAAGTGTTGTCCAAATTACTATTTTAACCCCCGGTTAACTTAAAGTGAGTTCAATATATAGGAACAATTGTATGTTATGTGTTATATGTGTTATATGCTTTTCAGTGTTATTATTCTAAGTTATTTTCTCGTGTTATTCGCTAATGTTTTAGCAATTGTAATACCTTTGACCATGTGATCAATGAAAGGACTTAGATTCACATTGGTACTGGTACGTAGCCTCTGGCCATTTAGAGCATGTCTCCGTAAGAGAATGACTTCTATTCTATGGCATTTTGCCGGCAAATGGTTAGACAGGACTATAAGCATGAATTCTAACAAGATGTTAATCAAAAATTGCATGTCTTATATGATATTTAGGCCAAAGCTTTATTGATATATATCAAGAATTGAAAAGAATACCTTTGAATAAAGTCTTTGATTGATATGAACGCTTGTCACATGATCTCACATACATCTTGTTGTTCCTCTTTGCTTTTGCCACATTGAAGTATATATATGGCATAACATTATATTGTATCTATTTTTGAACTCACTAAGCGTCACCGCTTACCCTATCAATGTTTAACAATTGCAGGTGATAAGTAACTAGTATGTTTACATACTATTGAAAGATGTAGAATAGTTTGTAATAGTACTTTTGTACTACAGTTTATGTTTGTATAAATTACAATATCCTGGGTAGTTATGTAATAAAAATAACACTTTGTAATAGAAGGTTTGTATCCAATAGTTTTAAATTCCCTTTTTATCAAAGTAAAATATTTCTTTTATGAATATGCAAATAGCATGTTTTGGAGTAATGATATTGTGAAGTATGAAAGTTTGGGTCTTTCAAAAATACGAAAGTTGGGGTCTTTCACTATGCCATAGTCAACTTCTCAACTTCCAAGTGTCCAGCAGCAGCAGCAGTTGCCACAGTCAGCTTTTCAACTTCTATGTGGCCACCAGTCAGCTTTTCAAAGTCTAAGTGTCCAGCAGTGTATGCCACAGTTAGCATCTTTACAATTCCAAGGAGTCCAATAGTGTATGCTACATTCAGCAGCTTTTCAACTTCCATATATGCATTAGGTCACATTTTGTGCAATGTATACGTCTTGATTCATCAGAAAAGTAATCACTAGTCTCTTGATGAGATGTACTCGTAATCTTCTGATGGATGAATCCTTTGATGCCATTCAAGACTACTTTGGGTATCTGACCCTGAATCCAATCTTCTGATGGATGAATCCTAAACACACATGCAAGGTGTTTAAAGAGATCTCTTACTCTTTACGTATAGCCAACATGAATATTAATGTAGCATATGAATTTTAAATAGTAGTACCCGCTCCACATTATTAAATTACTGGAAATGACATGGAGCATTATGAAGTGTGGCCTCACATATTGCAATTCGAAATGTGTTTGTGGGATACAAAGCCTGGATAGAATCTCTTGCAATTCAGTCTGTCATTAGAATATTTTTTCAAAGTTGTAAATCTTGAAAAAAGAGCTGGCATAAAATCATAAACAAATATGTATAGTCATCCTTCCTGCCAAAGAGTTAACTTTAAGTACATTAGACCCAAAGCAATTATAGCTCCAAGTGAAATTACATCTATATTGATCTGGGATCCATCCATCATCTGCAAGCAACAGAAAACAAAAACAGAAAATTAATGAAAAAGATAGAAAGGGTAATCAACTTTCTAAAAAAAACAAGTAAAAAGCACAACCTGCCCCGAACCACGATTGTGGTCATCCATTGATCCATTGGAGAGATGGGATCTTTCCTGAGAAAAAGCAATTTAACAAAAAAAAAGTCATCTACATGAAATATTAATTCTAGTCATCTCTAAAGTTTAGTGTGTGTGTGTGTGTGTGTGGAAAAGATACCTGGACTAGGGTGGATGCGATCAGCCTACCGCCTACTGTTTTGCTGAATGTAATCCCAACAAACATACAATATTAATTCTCCACTAAAATTGAAACAAGAGAAGAAAATATTTATATAAGGAAAAAGAATAATCTCTGCATTATAACAATGGAGAACACAACCTTAAGCATGTCTTTTGCTCGATGGAGCCTTCATTGTTAAAGGAAGTGATAATCCGCAAGGCAAGATTTTCTAAAATGTGTAGGAACTACTTGTCGGCATTCTCAGCATTTCTTTTAGCTTCCTCCTCCTGAAGATAAAAGACCATGTTAATTAGATTCCTTGTCAAATGTTTGAAAGTCCTGTATATAATTCAGCCTTACGTACAGTCAGTTCCTTCTTAATCATTTTTGTTGCTCTTCATCAATAAAAGGAATATTTGCAGATACCCTACAAAAGAGATATTTTTGAAACATAAGAAAATTATAGGCTTATTAAACATGGTTGTTGAAGGGATCCATAGGCGTTTGGAACAATAATCATATCCCCTAACCTGCCAAATAAATCTTTTCCCATCTGTGTCGACATTAAAATCTGAGTATAAACGAGAACATGTGTATATAATCAATAGCGTTCATAATGATATTAAGAACAAAATTTATCTACCAAACAGCTTAGAATGGGACATACCATCAACATATAAATCAAGAATCCTCGAATCATCAGTTATCATGAGTGACTGATATGAAGGTGGAAGTGCATGGGCACTACAAGAGCACAAATTAGATAAGATCATGAAAACAACCAGATCAACCAATGTAACCAAGTTTATAAAAAAGAAATTTAAGAACATACCTAGTTTCACCTAACAAAATTTAGTTTAACTGTTGCTTAGTTGTGATAATCTACAGCTTGAAAAGAAGAAATGCTTACAAGAACGATCCTTAGTTACCATCTCCAACAAATTAAGAAAAAGAATCCATACAAGCTTGCCCTGTATGGATTCGAGTGCAAGGTGTGATTAGGTACCATATCACTTGGTCTTGTGTACATTAGGTAATGTTATAAGGTATGAATTAGGTAAGATTCTTCTTTTAAGCATTTATTCGAACACTTGGAGTGCATAGCTCATCTCCTTCCTTTTCTACAAGTTCCCAGAATCTAGGGTTTAATATTCTATTCTCAAAACATATGTTCAATATTATCAATACAAGCAGAAAGTAAAGAGACCACAAGAACATAGAAAAATACCTGCTTACTTTTTTTGAAAGAGCAAAGGAACGAGAATTTTGAGGTAAGGATGATGACGATGTGTTGGCTGTGAGCATATGCGAGCAATAGAAACAGGAAAATGAAGGCTGAGAAATTAAGTCTAGCTAGTGTTTGCAAACAGATTTGAACCTAAAAATTGATTTTAGGGGCAATCTTGTGAGGATTTCGAGAAGGAGAGACTCAGTGAGGTTTTGAATATCGTATGAGAACGTATGAGCAAGGAGAACAAGCCCTAGAACTGATGATTCGGAAAGAGGGTTTACTTGTGTTGAATCGATTAGTGTGATTACCTGAGATTGAGAGTGTTTTCTCTTTCTTGAACAGGTGATGATCTGATGACGGTGACTTGGAAAAGAGTTGTGATCACCATCATTGTCGATGTGATTGTCGATTTGATTGATTGAGTTGTTGGGTTCCATTTAACGGTGGTTTGAGGTTGGAAATGGAAATGGAAAGAGCTCCGCCAAGGAGATTAGGGAGCGAAAGAAGAGAGAATCAGAGATGTTCGAAGTGTGGATTGATTTTTTAGGGTTAAATTTCAACTCAATTAGTAAAGATTCCAAAACGATTACACCTCCCTGTACCCCACTCAATAATTGAAACTATTGAAATTCTTGAGTTTTGTATGAACTTTTCTCATGAATGATGTTCACGTCGTCGGCTCCAAAGCACCATAATCATGCCGAGATCCAGAATCGTATACGTTTGTTGTTTACAAATCTGTTGTTGAACCGTGAATAATCAACCTAGGTATTCCCACCGCTGAAGATGAAGATGAAGGACCTAGGGCTTTTTCTTGCTAAGTAGAAAATGCGGGGGATTAATGTTTGGGATACAATAGGCGGGGGTAATTTTAGTGGATTCCATTTCCCTGCCTAAAACGCGTGTTTCACTTAAAAATTATAAAGCAACTCACTTACATGATGCACAATTTATGAAAGGCACCCTCCGCATTTTTTTTTCTTTTCTAACACCAATTTTAGGGCACTCACAAATGCGTGCCCTCTATCCTTTAAATTTTGCAATACTGGAATTATTTTTTAGGGTACTTACAAATGTGCATCCTGTATCAGCGAGTGTCATTGTTTGCGAGTCATTAAAGGGCTGTTTTCTTGTAGTGCAACAAGAAGGTGTGTTATGGATGTAACAAAGAAGGGCATATTTCTAGGGACTGCCTGAGGAAAAATAAAGCAGCAAGACCAGAAACGCCACCAAGGCCAAGGGCATTTCACATGATCCTCGACGAAGCAGAAAACCATGTGAGGAATCAAGGATGACGACTTCATATCTGAATATCAAGTTATGCAATAGCCATAGTATCGTATGATGTAGCCTATTAGAGGCATAGTCTAGGGTGAACTTGAACACCTATGTAATAGTTTCGAGAAATAATAAATCCCTCGTTTTGTTATCTTATGTGTTAAACTGTTATGTGATTTTTCCTATATGGTGACTTGGAAAACTGCAAGACAATACTTGGGACGAGTATGAGTAGGTGTGAAAGGTAGTAGATGCATATACTACCGGAAGCACATGACTCCCGCTTGGATTACGGAAAGTCACAAGGTTACCAAGAAGCCAATAATTTAGTCTGTTTTATTCAAGCATGTTGTTACCATCGTTTTGGTAATGACTAAGAAGATTGTTGTTACTATGATCCTAGTGGTCATATCAAATTGAGTCTGAATACGATGAGTATGTTACGTGGTTCAGAGAACCAAGTTCGATGTAGCATCTAACTTAAACCAAAAGATTGAAATGAAAGCTAACCTAGGGCGATCAGTAGAAGTATCGCGGTGATCATTAAAGAAGTTGGTAGCTAGAAATACTACATATTGAAATGTGAGTGTATCACATTAGAACATGAAGTAAGGTATACTCTGTTTTGGAGTTTGACTCTAAGAGACCTAAGTCTACAGCGTTGCAACATACGATGATAGGTCATTAGAATATGACACATAGATCCATAGTAGTAATAAAAGAACTTATCTTAAGTTTGTATCCAGTAAGGATTGAGATTGTGACTTGAAGGTCATAATTTGGAGTCTAGCCTGAGGTAAAGAGCGGGTGCACGATCGAGTACTGCTTACAGTCAATGAGTCTAAGAGATAGACTTGAAGGAATATAGAAGTTATAATTATTACCTAGGATGAAGAGATGACATATGGAGTCATTATACGAGCCCTGTTTCGTTGATGTTTCCGAGACGTACTCATCCTAAGGGGGAGATAATTGTAACGCCCATAGATCCGGGCTAGTCAATTTAGAGGTAATATGGGTCGAAAATGACTTTTCGACAACCAAGTTGTAGAATATGTCACAAAGTTTCTGTACATATAAAGAGCGTCAAAATCCAAGTTATAAGGAAGAAGTCATGACTCATCGAAGTTTCGCGACGGAACCAACACGGCACCGGGAAGCGTACATAGTGATTTTATGATGGATGACTTTTTAGCCTTAGTGATCTAAACAAAAGACGTAAAATATGTTAAACCCAGAAAGTCCATAAAAAGAACGCCCAAATCTGACTTCGTATGAAGAACTTATGATTTTTCTAAGATTCGGCTTAGTAGTGCACGACCCGAAACTCGAATTTTAGTTCGAGAGGATTTTGGCTTACGTGACTTAAATGAGAGTTGAAGATATCATTAATAGGAACTTAACAGTAAAAAGACAGACGAAAACAGAGTCCGTATGAAGGAGTTACGAATTCTTCGCGGTCATTTAACAGTCTAAATGCCTCGTACTGTTAAATTTAAGATCAGTCGAGAATTAGCTGACGGAGTCAAAATGAAAGTTGTAGATATTATTTTTAGCTACGCGTGGATATAAATAACTTCAAAAACAGAGGTCGTATGTGAAATTTACGGATTTTAGAAGTCGGAAGTGTGTTGTGCGAAAATGGGTAATGTGGCACAATCTTGACCATTGCTTTCTCCCCAAGTCTTGCCACTAGATGGTGACATGTGGCACCAAGTTTAGCCATTTTCACCCTATAAATAGAACCTCTCCCACCCTCATTTTCTTCACACCTTTCTCATTCTTTCTTCACTTTACTCTCTCTCTAGAACCTCTCTCTAGCCCCCGAAACCCCTCGAAAAGCTTAGGCAACCTCCCTAGCACGAGGTGGAAGCCCCTGAGTGCTCGACGGCTACGAGAAGAAGAGATTTTCCGCACGGGAATGTTGCTCCAAGCAAAGCATGGTTTTCTATAAAACCAGCTATAAGTGAGCTACGCCTACGCTATTTTTAATATAGTTTTTATTTAATTATATTAACGTTATAAAGAACATATAATAAGTAATTGGGCTATTATTATGGGTTATGTAAGTATTATTTAACGGTTATATAATAGTAATAATAGCTAGACTATTAATTAGTCTCGGTGAATAATAGACTAAGCTCTAGTGGTAATAATACTAGGTTTCGTCGAAGGAAATTATTTTTTTTCAAGAAGTGAAGCGCTGTCTGAGTTCGGAATCACCACCTTTTCAAGTGAGTGCATATTTACTTTCATCTTACACATAGATATGAAGTATTTTATATAAATTACGTGCTATGTGTGCATATTATCTGAGTACTTGTTCTCTATGCTAAATGAACGATTTTATACATGTTTTAAATGATTTAAACTGTATATGTATTTTATATCTACGATAATGTTGGGGTAAACATGGGTAGATATAATAGATGGAATATGAGTTGAATGATGAGTTGAGAGGTGTTATAGACCACGAGGTGAGGGTGAGAGGTGGACGATGTGAGAAGCCTTTTTCCCAAATGATAGCCCCGTCATTCAGTAGAGTATGGATGACAACCACGGACTATTCTAGACAGTCCAGTGGAACACTAGCAGGCTTACAACCTGTAGGTGTTGTGAACGATGTGTTCACCCGGTGTACTCTAAACCCCGGTGATCATGCAGACTTGATTCCTAAACCCTGGTGATCATGCAGACTTGATGCCTAACCTTGGTGATCATGCAAACTTGATGCCTAAACCTTGGTGATCATGCAGACTTGATGCCCAAACCCTGGCGACTATGCAGACTTAGTACCCGTTGTGTAAACCGTGGCAACGATGGACTTTGTGCCAATTCCTTAGGATGATCCTTAGGAATGAATGAACGAGGAATAGCTGATTCTTAGGGTAGATCCTTAAGATTAAATAAGATAATGGGGATGGGTAATTGGGTTGATTGTTTGATTGTTTAAACATAATAATTATATTATTGTGGGTTGAAAACCCTATGTACTCACCAGGTTTCCCAACCTGACCCACTCGGTTTATACATATCACAGGTGCTGATATGAAGTCACATTACACTGAGAGATTACAGAGATGTAGATCACTAGTGTAAATAAATTTAAGTTATGTTTATGCTTATGTTTCTGTATTGACGATGACATCCCAAAAGTTTTAAAATGAATAAAATACGTTTCTTCGAAAATATTTTGATAACGTATTTATCGTATTTTTCTGGGAACAAATTCCGCAACATTTTTATGAAAAGAAGTACTCTGATTTTTATAAAGCATAAACAAAATCAGTCTTTTCTGGCCATGAAAGTGGGGATGTCATTGAGGACAAAGTCCCAGTCAGTTCCGGACTTCAGTCTGATGCAGTTTCCGAACTTATGTCCGATGCAGAGGGCAAGGCCCTGGTTAGTTCCAGACTTCGGTCCGATGCAGTTTCCAGACTTCGGTCTGATGCAGTGGGAAAGGCCCAGTATGTTTTTATATGTTGTTGTATGGTATGTGGTAGTTTGGGGGAGCTCACTAAGCTTCATGCTTACAGTTTTAGTTTTGGTTTCAAGTACTTCCGCAAGTAAAGGGAAGGGCTCGGGTTGATGGCATCACACACACCACGGCTTCAGCTTTATTCCTGGGAGTTTTGTTCAGATACTTAGATATGATTTGATACATCTCTTGATATGAGATTTTATTATGGCTTTTAAGATACCCGATGTATGGTTTTGTTATATGACATTCAGTGTCATGACTTTTATTATTATTTTAAAAACAAAATTTTTGGGTCGTATTTTTGGGATTTTTCACATATCGTTATAATAGAAATTTATACGATGACGGACATCCATCACCGATTCCTAATCTCGTGTCCTTTGTCCTTCTAGCCTTCGCACTCTTCTAGAGAGATGAGTAGCCCTCCCTTCGACAATTTCCATCTTATCTTCAATTTTCACATTTTTCTCAAACAATTGTGATAAGGCGTTCACTTCAGAAGAATGTGGGGGATGTGGTCGAGATAATTGACCAGTCTCATACATCTTAGCAGCTCTTTCTTCTGCCACCCACCTATCGACGGTTTAGGCTATCCGTGCAGGTTCATCTTGAACTCTATGACTTCCTGAAGA